TACACCACGTGTTTTTATATAAGTGGTAGGAAATTTCATTTTTGTAAGTTATTAACTTTTTAACACACATATCCCACGATTTGTATAATAACACGTAGTGTATCATCTCGTATTCCGATCACACTGAAAAATCCCTTCCAAAAATTCTAGAACGGATTGGTTCATGTCATTGTCATAGATAATACTTGTGTGCAATTTAAGCGATCTTAACTTTTCAACGGTCGAATCATATAGCCAAAATAGTAAATATGCCAATATCTAGTCTCTATTTCTGCAATACTTGTGTGGCATTAAATGCTCATAACCTTGCAACAATTCACATAATATGGTAAACATGTCATTATTTACTTACTGTGCGACAATATGTGTGCGCCATAAGTGCTCACAACCTTTCAACGGTACAATTCACATAACGAAAATAGTTAATTTTGCAATATCTACTTATTGTTATGACAAAACTTAGAACCTCGCAATTGTCAAATTTCCAAAAACAAAACAGTAAAATTACGTCAATATATATTCATTATTACGACAATACTTTCGCGCCATTAAGCGCTCAGAAACTTTCAACGGTTGAAAAAAATCTAACCATTTAAAACCAAATCCACTCCAAATCAATAAATTAAATCCAACGGGTTAATGCAAAAGTGTTCAAAGGGGAGGTTATGCCCGAACCACTCTCCATTCCACTATCATGTCAAAATTGTTCAAATGCCATGTTTAATCTTATCAATCCATTGTTGGGTTGGGCTAAACTAGAAAAACCAAAACCCATTAATCCAATCCATCCAGAACTATCCAAACCCGGAACCAAACTCGAATTCGGACAATAGGAACTAGGAAGTATATGGATAAGGAGGAGGGAGTGTATTGGTAACAGAACCCATCATCTGCCATCACAGTGTTCTCTTCTCTCAGCGGTGCAGCGCAAAAACACTGATCACCAAAGCCATGTAAATCCTCCGCGCCCAAATTCACATCATTTTCGCAAATGGGTATCAGTCTCTGACTCAAAATCTGGTCCTGTAAGCTGGTTTCTGAGGTTGGTTTGGCTCAATCTCTGTAGAAGTGTGAAGCTTTAATGGTTTATCCGAGACGTTAGACTTTAAGTTTCTCGTAGGGTGATTTTGCAACTGTTGGAAAGAGAGATCTGTGGGAAAATATCAGATTTTGATTCTATTTGGCGGTTTGATCTGTACTGGGTATGTTTCAGTTATTGGATTTATCAATGATATATAGGATGGTGTTTATTGGATTCACATTTGAGGGAAGAAATTTTATATTGAATTGTTAATGGTTGGCTACTTTGATTGAAAGCATCAAACTTTGGTGGTTTAGGTTTCTGGGTTTTGTTTCTTAGGGCTAATTATCTTACATTTCATGGTGAAGTTCTGGTTTTTTGTGATGAATGTGGGTTAATCTGGAGAGGTTGGAGGGTTTGTACAAAGTTTTGCGGTTTTGAGTTTTGCGAAGGCAAGGGTTAGGGAAGCAGCGATGTCTTTTAAGAGTATGATTCAAGATATGAAAGGTGAGTTGGGGAGCATTTCTAGGAAAAGCTTTGATGTTAAATTTGGAATGAGATCGAGGTCTCAGCGGGTTGTTCAGGATACCTCGTTTCGCGTTGATGCTTTGAAGCAGAGTTGTTGGGCGAATATGCCTCCGGAGCTTTTGAGGGATGTGTTGATGAGAATAGAGGCCTCTGATGATACATGGCCTCCGAGGAAAAATGTGGTGTGTTGTGCTGGTGTTTGCAGGAATTGGAGAGAAATCATGAAAGAGATTGTGAAATCCCCAGAAGTTTCGGGCAAGCTGACATTCCCGATCTCTTTGAAGCAGGTTTGTGAGACCGGCACGCATCCTTCCTAGTAAAGATTCTTGTTCATATATTTTCCAATTGTGCTTTATAATGTATTTATTTTTCGTTAATATGTTTCTTGGTATAACTTAGAATTGATATTCAGAGTTAGGAAAATATGCTTATATCGTATGTAACAATGCTAGCTGGCAAATTTTGACATGCATATTCATGAATTATGATGGACACTGTGTATACTGGTATGAGTGTTTCACTTAGTAATGGTTATAACGCTCACGTTATGTGATCTTTATAATTTTGAAGGACCAAATGAAAAGTTTTAATGTATAGGGTAGGCAACAACTGACTAGCTCAAGTGTTGATGTTTTGTAACATTTTGGATGGATTTGAAAGTTTTCCAAAGACGATAACATTCTTGTGATTGATGTGATTTTTTAAAATTTGACATATATTCTCATTAAGAGTTTTCGTAAGGCTTCTTTGATTAATTTCTTATTACTCGACACGTTAAAATTTTGTAACATTTTGGACTGATTTGAAGGTTAACATTCTTGTGATTGATGTGATTTTTTAAAAATTTGACATATATTCTCATTAGAAGTTTTCATAAAGCTTCTTAGATTAATTTCTTATTACTCGACAATCATGTTGTTATCATATCTACCCCTTCTCCATTGAAATATCAGTTGAAGTCTTTGTTTACTATTTTGCAGCCTGGTCCAAGGAACTCCCTCCTGCAGTGTTATATAAAGCGGAGTCGTAGCAACCAGACATATTATCTTTTTCTGGGTTTAAGTCAAGGTAATTACTGAATGTTTTGTCCTGTGTGGTTGTGCTTGCCAAGTTTTTCTTTTATAGGGTTGTCTATAATGCTCATGGTAAAAGGTTGATAAGGTTTTGATTTCGGGTTTCATTAAGTTGCTAAAACATAGATTTTAAGTTCAGGTTTTCTTCCCAGATGTAAATATAATTGTTTTAGCATTTTGTACTTGCCAGCCTCAACTGATGATGGGAAGTTCCTTCTTGCGGCAAAAAAGTGTAGACGCCCAACCTGCACAGACTACATCATCTCTTTGAATGCCGAGGTTGTGTCAAAAGGGAACAGTGCCTTTGTTGGAAAACTCAGGTATGCTCATCAGCCCTGTAACATGACTACATCTTGATCATCTTTTAGCCCTAAGTTGTTTGGCCCATTTTCCTCAAACAGATCAAATTTTCTGGGCACTAAATTCACAATCTATGATGCGCAACCTACTAATAGTGGAGGCAAAGTCACTAAATGTCGTTCAACCAGGCTTGTGAATAAAGTCTCTCCCAGAGTTCCTGCTGGCAACTATCCTGTGGCCCACATTGCTTATGAGTTGAACGTCATGGGTGCCAGGTATGATAAACTTCTTTTTGAAACTTCCTGGTCTTTGCCTTTAAATGAAACTAACGTTGAAGACAATTTACCAAAAGCTTTAAGATGGTAACTTTCCTTTTTCTTGTGGTTTTTTTGTGAGTAACATTTTATGTAAATACTGTCAATATCAGAGGTCCGAGGAGAATGCAGTGTGTAATGGACTCCATCCCTGCCCGTGCTGTTGAGCCAGGAGGTGTGGCACCAACACAGACTGAATTTCTGCATAGCAACACGGATAGTTTTCCATCCGTCCCTTTTTTCAGATCAAAATCAACCCGGACAGAGAATTTCCCATCTCCACTAGAGTCTGGTGAGAATGAAGGCATGCTGGTATTGAGAAACAAGGCGCCTAGGTGGCACGAACAGCTCCAGTGCTGGTGTCTCAACTTCAATGGACGAGTAACAGTTGCCTCAGTCAAAAATTTTCAGCTGGTTTCTTCTCCGGAGAATGGAGTTGCGGGCCAGGAGCATGAAAATGTCATTCTTCAGTTTGGAAAAGTGGGTAAGGATGTCTTCACCATGGATTATCGGTATCCAATCTCAGCCTTTCAGGCATTTGCCATTTGCCTTAGCAGCTTTGACACCAAGATTGCGTGCGAATGATCGGCAAGTAGGTTGCAATCCACTGTCGTAATGCTTGGACTCCAAGTAGTTTGTAGTTTTGTACTTAGATGAAAACTTTTTCCTTATTCTTTCTTTTTATTTTATTTTCGTATTTTTCGAAATCTTTCGGGTTAAATTATGGCTCAAACTTCTTTTTCCTTTAAACTGGAATATGATGGTCTCCTCTCGTTTCGTTTGTGGGAGTTTGGATCGCAGGTTCAAAGAAGAGAGGGGAAACCATTCTCCGTTTTTCTATCCCGAGAATCAGGATTGGATGGGATTAGAATACGCCATGTTTGGTGGCGTGGATTGGATGGGGTTAGGAACTAGGAGCGGATTGGTGGAGAAGAGAACTACCATTGGATTATTCAAGAATATTAAGGAAAACTAATGAAAAAGACTTAAAAACTTTGAATTTTAATCAAAATGACAAAAATATGTTGTAAGTGAATAGTATCAGGAGTGATTTTTTAAAGTAAAAATGTCTTTAACGTTAAAAAGTGAACAATACTATAAATGTTTCATTAAAATTCTCAAAATATTACTAGGTATACGGAGACTTGGGCCCGGTACCAAGCAAGGAAACCAAGGTCTACCTTGGGCCTCACTTGAGTTAAGGGTCTCATTTTACAACACTGCCCTTTCAACCCAATATATTTTCCTTAATTTATCAAGGCATTCTATATTTCCCTAATTGTTGTATATTGTATTTAGTTTTTCGTTTTATAAACTAACAATTTTATGTATTTGTTTAACCAAGTAAACATAAAAAAAAATACTTATTTTTCTCAAAAATAGATTGTACATTGTTCAATGTACTACATTATTCCATTTTATCTCCTTTAAGGAAGAGATTCTGCACTTCCTATGCGTACTTTCCTTCCCTTTTTATAGCCTTTGGGTTGAACAAACAGAAGAGTGCATAAGGAGAAAATGCGAGCGAAAAAGTTGTAATTCAAGAGCAATCTTCCAGAAAACAAAATAAAAACTCAAATATTTGGATTCTGATTAAATGAAATGAGAGAGAAAATGAGAGGATCCAACTCCTATATATCAAAGGAAGAAGATTACATGACCAAATCATCATAAGGGAACTTGAGGCAATTTATTTTCAGCCAAAGAGAACCTACATATAAATAGAAAACATAGACATGCATGATCGTCTAAGCTTTGAGCTGCTCAAGAATTCTTAGCACAATCCTCTGGAGCAAACTTGAGTAGGCTCCTTTTAAGGTCAAATATGTATCTGTAATCGCTTAGTTGCCATGATCCAAAAATAGTACGAACATCATCTGAAGCGAACGCCAGGCATAAAATATCTCTGTTAGACGACCGGTCGTGCATCAATATGAAACCGCTTTCGGGTGCGACGTCAATGTTAGGATGGTTCGGACCATCAAAGTGAAAGGTAATAGTAGGGAGGGCCTCGTTAGCCTCGCGCGGAGGCGGCGACCAGTTGTCGCAAAGCTCAAACTTCGGGTAAATAGGGGGAAGAACCTTATTAAAGCTAGGGTATCTCATAAAATGGTACTCCAGATGCATAACCAATGCCTTGTGAGCAGGGTTGATGAGAAGAGTAAAAGAACTTCCATTGTCTATAATACATCCTCCTTCTGTCCCCCGCTTCCGGATCTCAAAAACCGTCGGATTAATTAGAAGCTTGTGTCCATCCACACTTATTGCCTTCAAGTTGACATGGTAATAGGGTACGAGATCAGAAAGAACTAATGGCGTGACGCGTACGCCACCAAGTGGTTGGGGGATGTCGGAACCAAATCGGAGATATGTTTGAACATCTCTCCGGCGTGTTAGGCAGAATGAGAATGCTCCATCAATAAGATGGGATATTTGGTTTGGAAAGGAAATAGGATTATATCCCAAACCCAACATTCCGGATACCTTATAGTCCTCACCCGCGCCAAAGATGTCCGCCGTCGCTTCATAAGCACAACCCAACACTATGTTACCAATAGCCTGTGCACGCCCGCTGGTTGTCAAAAGACTGAAAGCTTCACCTGCAATGAAATGAGAAATTATACGGAATGACATTTTCATTAGTGAACAACTTTCGTGTTATGTGTCAAGTTAGTTGTGCTAGCCGGTGCACGTACTAAATATCGATGTAAGCGAACATACAAAAGGTTTAGAAAGAATGTTATAATACCATTAAAGTTCAGATATGAACAAAATATTAGATATAAGGACCATAACTAAAATAAATATCGATATCATGAGATAATTAAATTAAAATTTTGTTGGCCAATGAGTATTTGGTCTTGTAAAGTTAAGTGGTGAACATGAACTTTTCAAATAAGAAAAAAAAATGTTACTTAAGCATACAAAACTGACAAACACTCTAAAAAATCTGCATGAAAAAATTATGGTGGTGTCCATCTAGCTCTATTTTGTATGTAACTAATAAATATTGCAAAGATTTGGATAATATTATCAAAACTTAAATTTAATGTCAAAATCCATACTTCCGAGAGTAGTACGGACACCGCTGCCGTCCTGGTACTTAGAGTCCATGGAGCAGATACCCCCTTTGCATTTGCCTGGCTTGCAAAGGCGGTGGCCACCACAAGGAAGAGGCATATAGGTTTTGGACTGGCTGTTAGGGAAGGGGGGATCCCTGGTTTTAAAGCATTTCGGTTGAGGCTTTTGCTTTAGGCAGTCCTCACACAGAGTCCAAATGAGTTGGCTCCCGGTGTCTGTGTACAAGTAGTATGTTTTGAATGTGCTGGCCGGGAACTTCGCATCGAAAGTGCCAAGCCCAAGTTGTACAATGTACATGCCATAAGGGTAAAATTCGAGTTTAAGACGAGGCAATTCATCAAGAGGGTTCTTTGAAGTTTGTGACATATTATTGCTGAGGGCTGCTGCAATGGTAGCATCTATGTACCGCTTTCGCGCATTTGTTTGCATTTTTGTTTGTGTTTGTAAATTGTTTGGTTTGGCTAAACCATTGTTTGGTTTGGGTAGTTGATGTTTGTGATCAACTGCAGTCATTATTTTCTGCTAGAAGGGTTCAATGGTGGTTTGGGTTGGCTGGATGGTGCTTACTGCTTTATAGTATATGGATATATGGCCTTAATTAATAATTAAGAATATTAGGATTTGTTTCCTTTTCTTAAAATTCCATAAATATTAGCATATTCTCAAAAAAAAAAAAAAAGAAAAAAAAAACTCCCATATTAGCAGTCAAAACCCATATAAGTAAGTATAGAAATACCTTGTTAAAAAAATTATTAATACAAATATGACTTTAGCCACTGAAACTTAATTTTCTCTACAAAAAAAACCCGACGTAAGTTTTTTATTCTAATAAAACGCATTAATTAAATTCCACATTAGCAAATTCATTAATTATGTTTGATTTTACACGTTTAAATTTTGTTGGATGTCTAAACCATTCTTATCTGAATTTTTTGTGTAGAACATTCTTATCTGAATTTTTTGTGTAGAACATTCTTATCTGAATTTTTTGTGTAGACTATTAATTCCATGCGGATTGTAAGAGAACATTAATGATTTTACAAAAAGAAAAATAGGGGTGCTTGCTGCTCATAGTATATGATGTATGAGCCATAATCAATAAATTAATGATATTAGGATTTTTTTTTCTTCCTGTGATTAAACTTCCATATTAGCACAATAAAAAAAAAAACTCCCATATTAGCATATTCTAAAAAAAATACTTATTACTTATCATTACGAATTTCGCACAAATGAAGTATGCGTAGAATGACGTCGTGATTAGGGGTGCTTACTGCTTATAGTATTTGATATATGGGTCATAATTAATAAAGTAATGATATTAGGATTTTTTTTTCCTTTGCTTAAACTTCCATATTAGCACAATTCAAAATAAAAACTTCCATGTTAGCATATTAAAAAAAAAAGAGACCCTTTTGTGGAGAAAATAATAGACTTTTAAATATTAAGATTTTTTTCCTTGCTTAAAATTTGATATTAACGATTTTGACACAAACGCAGAATGATGTCGGTGTTCTTGCACACAAGAAAGAAAAGATTGTTAAGACCTTGTCACATTGGTGTGATGTGAACCAAAAGCTTTCCAATGCTTAAGCTAAACTTTAGATATTAGATTAGAAGCCGACAAGATTTGAACCTATGCCGTAATGTAAGGCCTCAACACCTTTTTACCACTATTGTAAAGAGCCACCAATAAAGTCTTTGATTGCATGAGATAATTAAGTTATTATCTTTTAATTATTTTTAAATGAGTATGACATTTACTAAGGATAATTGTTCACTCATATTAATTAATTATTGTTGATTGATTATTAAATGAGACAATTTTATCATGAAATACATGTGAGAAGTGTCACATCCCGGCCCGAGCCCCCATCACATCCTGGGTTCAACTCTACCGTAGCACGATATTGTCCGCTTTGGGCCCCTACCATACCCTCACAGTTTTGTTTCTGGAAACTCATATGAGAATTTCCCAGTGGGTCACCCATCATGAGAATACTCTTGCGCGAACTCGCTTAATTTCGGAGTTCTGATGGAACCTGAAGCCAGTGAGCTCCCAAAAGGCCTCGTGCTAGGTAGAGATGAGAATATACATATAAGGTTTATAGGATCCACTTCCTTGGGTGATGTGCGATGTTACAATCCACCCCATTTAGGGACCCGACGTCCTCGTCGGCACACTTCCAACCAGAGATTAACTCTGATACCAAATTGTCACATCCTGGCTCGGGCCCCCACCACATCCCTGGCTCGGCTCCACCGTAACACGATATTGTCCGTTTTGGGCCTCTACCACACTCTCACGGTTTTGTTTCTGGGAACTTGACGAGAACTTCCCAGTGGGTCACCCATCTTGGGAATGCTCTCACGCGAACTCGCTTAACTTCGGAGTTTTGATGGAACCCGAAGCTAGTGAGCTCCTAAAAGACCTTATGCTAGGTAAAGATAGGAATATACATATAAGGCTTACATAATCCACTCCTCTGGACGATATGAGATGTTACAAGAAGCATGCCATATAGAAATATGTTGTATATTTACGTTTCATTTTCTTTCAAGTATAAAATTAAACATAAAAAAACTTTTGGTACTCAATAATAGACAAGACAGATTACTACGCCACCATTGTATTTGAAAAAATAAAAAAAAAAAACTATTTAGCCACTTAGTATTACAGTCTAGTGGTATTCCTCTTTACTTGTAAGTGAGATGTTTTCTCGCCAAAGACAAATTTAATTTGAACCACATTATTGCTAGCTCTTTGTGAAGCTAAACACATCCCCTCCCCTTAGTGTAGATAATATCGTTTATTAAAAATAAAAATAAAAACCTATATAGTTCTACAATGCTCATCCTATAATCTTATTTTCTTACTCACGTTGAATTTTCACCCACCATAAAATGTTTAAAAAACCAAACACTCCATTTCCACCCACTTGTATTCCAAAAAATATCCCTAACATGTTTAAATTTTAAATAAAATAAATATAAAGAATGATTTAATCCTGGAGATTTTCGAAAATGGAACTGCCACAAAAGTCCCCACCCACCTAGCTGAAAGCAACCACATATGACTGCAGTAGCTCATTTTCCCTTTGCTGCTGGAAAACTTACCTTCCTTTCTTTGTCCTCTCCTTTCTTTGTTTTTCTAGATCTCTTTCTCTCTCTCGTTACCAGATCTGGAATTAATATTCTTATCCATATTTATTCTCGAATTCCAATTGAGTACTAAGGGTTGAAAAGTAGGGAGAAAAGAAAAGACAGAATTTGGCGTGGGGTAGGTGGGGTGGATGCAAGAGATAGAAGATGGAGGACGATAAAAGAGTTAGAAAGGGATGAAGAGAAAAATAGGGGACGTTCGATTCATTTCTCATTTTAATTTTTTTTGGAGACTTTAGATGCGGTCTTTAGCTATAAATATTTTTTTATTGAAATCTTGTTGATTTTTAATTTTTGATCGAGATTCCTAAAATCAATGTGATAATTCATTTCTATGTACGTTACTATAATTTTTAAATTAAAAATTAGAAATTTTAGTTGTTTATATAAATGAGATTTTAAATAAAAAACCATAATTTGTGGGATTAAAAATATTAAAATATAAATATACTATTGTGTGTGTGTGTATATATATATAAACATGGGTACATTCATCAAAATTAACCAAAAACATTATTGTATCAAACATGGGTACATTTTTCAAAATCACAAAAAAAAAAAAAAAGATATTAGGCTTAATAACATTAGTAAATTTCTTCGATTAAACTTGACATGGATACATTTTAAAATCAAAGAAAAAAGAATGTACCCATATAAGTTTAAAAATGGATTAAAAAAATTGAATAGATTATATATACAAAAAATTGTACATTTTACATATAACAAATTGGTATATTTAAGAATGAGTACATTTTAAGATTAAAAAGTTTTACATGAATGGGTACATATAATTAGCATGGGTACATTCAGCAAAAAAAAAAAAAAATACAAAAGAAAAATATATGGGTACAAATACAAATAAACTTTAAAAAAATATATGGGTACAAATACAAATAAACTTTAAAAAATATGGGCACAAAAAGAAATTAATATATGGGTACAAATTAAAACTGAAAAGAAAATTGGTACAAATTAAAAAAGAATTATAAATTAAAAATGGGTACAAACTAAAACTAAAAATATATGATAAAAAATTTAGTCATAAATATAAATATACTAATTGTAACATTTTTAACATTAAATGAATATATTTAGAAATAAAAATATATTTTATTATTGAAATAATTAATGACGTTATTAATACCCAAGACCATGATTAAAAATTGAAAAGGAACAAGATTTTAATCAATGGAATAGCAAAATAAAGAATGAGAACCTAATTTTTTTTTTCCTGCTCCTTTTTATCTTTGACTACAAAGAATATATAAAAGTAATAGTTTTTAACAAGGTTTTGAAGTTTTTTTACATAAGGTTAAATTTGGTATTAAAGTTTTCATTGAAAAGTGGGTAGAGAAATAAGATAATAAGGTGGGCATATCAGCACTCAAACTACAAGGGCACGTTGGTAGAACGAACATCACTGGATTTTGCTTTGGACTGTTAGACTAGGATTAGATTGGATAGTTTGTGTTTTGTGTTTATTGTTTGGTTTAGACAGCCTCAATAGGATTGGATTGGATTGAAAACTGAATTGGTGAAACATAATGGGGAAGGCGTGACCTACCTATTTACTAACACCCAGAACGCCCGTTCACAACCCGCCAACAACGTCGTTCGCAACCCACACCCACGACGGTCCTGACAACACTGCTACCTGCTTGTGATGCCAGATCCAACGACTGTGCTCCCGACGATTCAAATAGCCCTTGCTACCCATCCCCATAGTTGCACGCGAGAGAGAGAGAGAGAGAGATGACAATGACAGAGATGCGAGAAAGATACTAACCGAAAAGGAGGAGGTGCGATGAATTCGTATCCCATGAATCTTTGTGCTATTCTGAACTTGGATCCAAATAGAAATCCAATCCATGATGTTCTTTAAACGCATCAAATAACGCTTTTGGACTCAAGTCCATTTTAAAGGCCCATTACATGACTCATCAGCCCACGGGGTTTTAATGGAAACTTCAACGAAAATTTTTCAATACTGTTTATTATAACGAAAAATCATATTTTTACACTTAAAATCAATCATGGTATTATTCACTTTACTTTTTATTTTTTCCTTATCATTCAAATCATTTTAATTAGTTTTCATTTTTTTAATTTGTTTTGCAAATCTTTACAAAATCCATTACAAAGAAAGGGAAACTGAATCTGAATTAGATTTTTCAGTTGTGCTAGATGTTGATGGTCTTCGTAATGTCATCTTCCCTTCATTTTCAGCTGAAAAAAAAAAATTCCGATCTCCCATCTAATTGTCAACT